CTGCCTGGCTGCCGGCTGCCATCTTGGTTGGCAGTTAATTTGCATATCACCCTGATTAGCCAATGGGAAGCATGTCAGAGGTACGGTTAATTACCATGTTTGTCTATTGTTAGATAGGATATAGTCAATGATTATTAATACTTTTTTAAAAAAGAACCTAAACTTCCCCAAATTTCAGCACAGGTAGTTTAACTGTAGATTTCAGTTCTAGATGATTTTTAAAAATAGTGTGTAGAAATGATTCTTCTTAGTTAAATGTATTATATCATGTTATCAACCAACCAAATCAAAAGCAATTGCCAAGCTGAATAAGTTACAAAGAAATGATAACTCTGGCTTGTACAGAAATGTGCAGTGTTTTCAAAGCTCTGAACAGTTACCTACTAATACAAATCTCCACAGCTTAACTTAGAGTTGGAAGATGAGTTTTCACAGTAATGTAATTTTAACCTCCATTTACATTCATTTTAATATATTACTAAGATGTTTACTCTATGTCACAATGGTGCTTTCCAGTGTTCACAATTTGCAGTTTCAGTTTATACAAGTCATTCACTAACATAAGGGACAGTTATGCCTCCAGCATCATGGGCTCTTTTCTCTCCCCCAGCCCAGCGTTCATCACTCCACTTATCTCCTTCCATCCCTGACTTTGCTGTGCCTGGGCCCTGAAGGTGCTCCTTTGCCCTCCATTGTAGTCCCCAGGGTGTGGCTGGGGCTAGGCTTGCTCACAGAGTGGTCCCTCTCTCCGGGGCACCCTATAAGCCTTTTGAGAGTAGGGAGTCAATTATTACTATCTCCACCCAAAACATCTGCACTTACATCCTCAGAAAAGAAGAAAATGAAGTAAAACAAACATTGTTAGTGCACTGCTGCATGCTACACTCATGCTGCTAGCGTCTTAGTGTTGAAAGACACAATAAAAGGGATCTAAGCCCATCTCTAAGCCGATGCATAAATTCCTCTCGCAAAGCTGTCTCGGGCATGTATTACTGATTAACAAACTACCAGAAAAGTGAGTGTTTTAGAGCAGCACCCATGTTCCTTGCTCGTGATTCTGTAGTTAATAATTCGAGCAGAGCTTAGCTGGGGGCCCTCTGCGCCACAGGGCGGGGGTCCAGAGCCAAGAAGGCTCCCTCCCACGTCCAGTGCCTCCTTCCGGCCTCTCTCTCTGCTGCTGGCTGTGGCTTCCTTACCTACAGCCTGTGATCGAAGGCAGAGGGGCTTCTCGCAGGCAGCTTCCAAAGTGACCTTGCCAAATGGGCAGAAGTCGAAGCTGCAGATCCCTGATCACCTCAAAAGCCACAGGGCCAGGTTCACAGATCAAAGCGCATGCTGCAGGTCCCCCTGCCACGGGGCACCGGAGGGGAGAGACCCAAAGGAGCACCGCAAGGAACTGGCCGCCAGCCATACTTAATCCCCCGCAGAATCCTTTTCAGACGCTGTCAGCCGGTGCTTAACCACTTCCTGTGATGAAGAGCTCACAGTGACACAAGGGGAGCGCATCTACAGACAGCGCTGGCAGCAATATCCCACCTCGGGACCCTGATCCATACCCTGTCAGCCCCCCACCTCCGCCCCCCCAGCCCCTGCCTTGCAGATGCTGCCCGCATTTCTGAGGCCCCTCAACATGCAGACCTGCCAAGTACTAAGTGTACCAAAGTCTGAGCAGTCACACTTAGCAAATTAACTTTTAAAACAAAAACAATTGTAACATAGACACCCACACCTGAAACCTAGATGTTTATGTTGACCAATGGCACCCCAATATTTTAATAAATCAATACATAAATAAATAAATGACAAATGAACACAGAATGGCCATAATAACCTTCTTTGGAAATAGCACCAAACACCCACATTTGGGTCCCTCAGTGAACCTGAGGGGGGCCTGAGTTTACTAAACCCTCCGTGAACCCTAACGCAGGACGGCCCACCATTTATCATCCCTCAGCACTGAGGTTCTGAAGGAGACCATCGATCACAAACATCTCTGCTGGAAACTCGGCCCCTCTGTGATCTCCTTGTACACTGGCCCCCACAGCAGTGAGCCTCCCCAGCATCTGAGGCTCAGCCCTCCTCTGGGAAGGGGGGGCAGAGATTGGAACAGGTCAGAGATATATAAAAAGTACCGGCTTTCTCCCCCAGCAGACTTAAGTAATCATATGCAATATAAGCTAAACATCGCTCACTGTGGGTTGGGTTTTAGATACTATTATGGAATCATTGTTCAACAAGAGTGATAATGATTTCAGTGGCTGTGCAGGGAAGGTCCTTCCCTGGGCAATGCCCGCTGGAGGACGTAGGGTTTGATCAGGAGTAAGCAAACCAAGGCTCCCAGGCCAAGATTCAATCAATTGTTTAAAAGGAAGTCTTATTGGACCAGCCACCCCCTTTGTTTACATGTTGTCTGGCTGCTTTTGTGCCTCAGTGGCCTGGTCTGGTCATTGTGACAGAGACAATATGGCTCACAAAGCCCAAAATTTAGCACCTGGCTCTTTTTTAAAAATATTTTTTATTGATTTTTTTACAGAGAGGAAGGGAGAGGGATAGAGAGTTAGAAACATCGATAAGAGAGAAACATCAATCACCTGCCTCCTGCACACCCCCTACTGGGGATGTGCCCGCAACCAAGGTACATGCCCTTGACCAGAATTGAACCTGGGACCCTTCAGTCTGCAGGCTGATGCTCTATCCACTGAGCCAAACCAGTTAGAGCTACCACCTGGCTCTTCATAGAAAATAGATTGCTCACCCCTGAGTGAGAGTATGATGTCTGCAACTTCCTTTCTAATTGTTCAGCAAAACAACAGCAACAAAAAACTGCATATATGCGTGTGTGTATATATATATATATTTATACATATGCAGGGTGTCCCCAAAAATGTATACACACTTGAACAGCTGGTAGCTCGGTTTTGAAAATGAAGTGTATTTTAATAAACACTGCCTTTGTAATTATTCAAAGTGTGTGTATACATTTTGGGGATACCCTATATATGTATGCACATATACTCTTGAATAATGTGGAGGTTGGGCTGACAATGTCTGCACATTTGAAAATCCTCATATAACTTTTGACTTCGCAAAAACGTAGCTACTTAATAGCCTACTGCTGACTGGAAGCCTTAACACAAACAGTCAATCAATGCAGATTTTTATGCATTATATACTATATTCTTATAATAAAGTCAGCTACAAAAGCAAATGTTATTTTAAAAATCCCAAGGGAGAGAAAATACATTTACAGTATTTATGGAAAAAATGCATATATAAGTAGACCCACGCAGTTCAAATCTATGTTGCTCAAGGGTCACCTGTACATGTGTGTGTGTGTGTGTGTGTGTGTGTGTGTGTGGAGAGAGAGAGAGAGAGAGAGAGAGAAGGGATGCAAATGTGGCAAAAATTAATAATTGGTGAATTTAAGTAGAGAATGTAAGTATTCGTTTTATTTTTCTTTTAACCTTTCTTCAAGTTTAAAAATATTTTTCATAAAATGTTTTAAGAGTAAATATTACTTCACTTTAAAAACTCAAGAGAATCTCCTAAAAAATATAATTCAATAGAAAATTAAATAAGCAGATCAATAACAATATAAATATATAACTAGCAATTACAATGGTTTTAAGGTAATGATAACAATCTCATACACGATAGCAACAAAAAAATATCAAACCTAAGGTTTAACTAAAAAACAATTGTGGAGTATTTAAATATTACAACAAATTTTACCAAACTCCAAAAAGTAGAAGCACATAAGTCAGTGGTTCTCAACCTGTGGGTCGCGACCCCTTTGGCTGTCGACCGACCCTTTCACAGGGGCAGCCTAAGACCATCCTGCATATCAGATATTTACATTACGATTCATAACAGTAGCAACATTACAGTTATGAAGTAGCAACGAAAATAATTTTATGGTTGGGTCACAACATGAGGAACTGTATTTAAAGGGCCAGAAGGTTGAGAACCACTGACATAAGAGAATATGAAGTACCTAAGTATACTGTGAATGTTTGGCCAATGCATTTGCAGGTGTTAATAAAAAACAAACGAAAAAACTTTATCAAAGACAAAAAGAAGCTTTGAGTAACAGGAAGAACATACCACATCCCTAAACAAGAAGAGTCAACGACTTAATATTGTGAAAATGTCCATCCTCCACAAATACAGCTATAAGGTTGATGCAATTCCAATGAAAATCATCAAGTGGCTTTTGTTGTTGGAGAGAGAAGAACAATGACAAAATTACTCAAATATATTTCTAGTAGGAAAAATGGGTATGATTAGCCAAGGTCATTTTGGAAATGAAGAATAATAAAAGTTTCTCACCATGACAATGTTAAGGTTTATTTTAAAACTACAATAATTAAGTAAATCTGGCTCAGTAATAATCAAAGAAGAACAATCCGGGAAGAGATGTACAAGAAGTAAGAATCAAGGCATTGGAAACTAAAGAGAAAATAAACAAACGGGACTACATCAAAATAAAAAGTTTCTGCACAGCAAAAGAAACCATCAACAAAACAACAAGAAAGCCCACTGCATGGGAGAGCATATTTGCCAACATTATATCTGATAAGGGCCTAATCTCCAACATTTATAGGGAACTCATACAACTTAACAAAAGGAAGATAAACAATCCAATCAAAAAATGGGCAAAGGACCTAAATAGACACCTTTCAAAAGAGGACATTCAGAAAGCCAAGAGACATATGAAAACATGCTCAAAGTCACTAATCATCCGAGAGATGCAAATCAAAACAACAATGAGGTACCATCTCACACCTGTCAGAATGGCTATCATCAACAAATCAACAAACGACAAGTGCTGGAGAGGATGTGGAGAAAAAGGAACACTCGTGCACTGCTGGTGGGAATGCAGACTGGTGCAGCCACTATGGAAGACAGTATGGAGTTTCCTCAAAAAACAAAACATGGAACTCCCATTTGACCCTGTGATCCCACTTCTAGGAATATATCCCAAGAAACCAAAAACACCAATCAGAAAGGATATATGCACCCATATGTTCATAGCAGCACAATTCACCATAGCTAAGATCTGGAAACAGCCTAAGTGCCCATCAGTAGATGAATGGATTAGAAAACTGTGGTACATCTACACGATGGAATACTATGCTGCTGTAAAAAAGAAGGAACTCTTACCATTTGCAACAGCATGGATGGAACTGGAGAGCATTATGCTAAGTGAAATAAGCCAGTCAATGAAGGAAAAATACCACATGATCTCACTCATTCATGGATAATAAAGACCATTACAAACTTTTGAACAATAATAGATACAGAGGCAGAGCTGCCTCAAACTGATTGTCAAACTGCAGTGGGAAGGCTATGTAATACTCTTTGTAATACTTTAAGCAATAAAACAAAATTTAAAAAAAAAAGAAGTAAGAATCAAGGCAGCAAGTCCATGAGAGGAGAGAGGGTGGGTTGCCTATTATACAAGGCTGGAACAATGGCTCGCCACTTGGGAGAAAATGAAGTTAAAGCCCTATATCAAACCACACTCCAAGTGAAGGAAAATTAAGTGCAAAAAACAAATT